AAAGCTAGCTGATGGCTGAAAAAATAGTTGTTAAATAAAAAACTAGCTGATAGCTGAAAAGCTAGCTGATAAAAAATAACGTTTGGTAAAACTAGCTGAAATATATAAAATTACATAAAAGGATACGTAAGAATATGTGTTTCTATAATTAATTAAGGGGTGTATTTGAAAATTTTTAAATAAGCTCCTAAAAAGCTAGTCTAAATAGCTTTTCAAAACGCTAGCTTATAATCTATTTTCTGGCTTACCAAACACGACAATATAAAAAGCTCGAAAAATAAGTTAACTTATTAGATAGTTGTGGCACGCCAAACATAACCTTACACGATGAATTATTGCGATATACAAATAGTGATATCTTAAATATACGGTTGAGGACTAGTACAACTAGGGCCAGGTAGTTTCGATAAACTGATAACTATGTTTATGTAATGTATGTAAGTGTATGAATTATGATTGAAGTAAATAAATGTGACAATACCTAAGGGCGAATAACCTGTGTCGGTAACCAAGATGTTAATCAATGTTATAAAAAAAAAAAAATGCATCGTATACAGTAGTCATTGAAATGACAATACGAATTTATCAGTGGTTGAGAAATGGCTTGTCAGTGATACATATTGTCCCCCGTGAAATTATAATTGGCATGTGATTCGTTATTTTTAGTGGCATCCAATTTTACCAAATGTCTTAAATTTCTAAAATCCGCGGTGAATATTTACCCTTGTAACTTGTAAGCATGGTCGGACCTAGGGTGACAAGTGCTTATACGTTTAAAAAATTCGGCTTGATGTTAATTTCATGAATAAATAGAAAATAGAAAAAATAAAAATAAAAATAAAATTAAAATAATAGTAATAATAATAATAATCAACTATTTTGTTTTATAAAATGTCAGAAAAAGTTACTAATGTTAATATGTTTTCTTTAATTTACTAATTATACATTAATAACATTAAATATATGTTATTTTGAATTCATAAATATTTAAAGAGTTTTTCGTGGTTCGACATCGTAAGAAAAAAAAAATTGTACCCCGCCACAATAAAAAAATCGAAAAAATGATTAAAACGAAAAAGTAACAATGTACTTTGGATTTCGATTGATACTATAAAATCAATTAAAATATTGATTGGAGAACTGTGAATATGAGATTATTTTATTAATTTGTATAAAACCGTTTGTTATTAGATATGGATAATTAAGAATTTGGTTAAATTATGTATTTTAGTATTATTTAGTATTAAGATAATTACGAAGACCTTGTAATTGAATTTGGTGATTGATGATGATTACAATGATATAATTAGTTCGAAATTAGACGATATTTAGATTAACAAGTTTAATTGTAAACATCATACAATTTATTAGTTTTATGTGAAAGTATGTATGAAAAACACATTTTATAATCATATAAATAAAAAAATATTATATATATATATATATATATATATATATATATATATATATATATATATATATATATATATATATATTGTAACACACATGTAACGTTCCATTTTTACAAACAAAATTTTCATTTTAATTAAGGTAAAATATCATTTCATAAAAACTCAAATTAGAAAATCTCATTTGTTCCAAAATACAATTGTTTGAAAATCAGAGTAATATGATAAATGTGAAATCTTTATTGATGTTGTTGAGTGTGTCCAGTCATGCATTCACATTCTCACGATCATTAATGATACCTAAAAACATTTAATCCATAATTGTAAGTCAAAGTTCAATGAGTTCTCCCAAACTATCACATACAAGCCAATATAATAAACAATTATGTGATATCAACAACTCTGATAACTATTAGCAATCCCGGGGACTACCAACAGTCCAAGGGGCTCCCATCATTCCTGTAGGTTATCAGCAATCATATGTGTTATCATAAACCCGACAAACTATTAGAAGTCTTGGAGTTATTAGTAACTCAAATATATGTGTAACAACAATCAGAAAATAAGACCATGTTGGTCTAGCATACTATGATATAAGAAATATAATAAGAAGACTCATTCTCGCATACAAAATCTAATACACACACTACACCATAATTGGGAGATCACCAATAAATGAATAATTATATATATTCAGAGGTGAGATAGATAATCGAACAGTGATCCCACTCTAAAGCCAGAACCAAACAAGGAACGGGTAAGAAAGCTTAGATTAAGAGTTCTCAGGCTATCATACATGACTATATATAACCCACAGGGCACTCCACTAGACGATCACCGACCTATCGGTACTCTAAGCAGTATACCATTACTCATATATCCTATCATACAAGGATATACACTGTGACACATAGTATAATGAGGAAACTCACCTGAATCGAAGGCCCGAGGAACACAACAACACACTCACCTAGCACCAAACAAAGATAAATCCTTAATCAATAACCCAATTCCTTCAAGTTTGACCCAAGATCAAATTGGTCAAAAGTCAACAGTGAACAAAAGTCAATGGTCAACCCAAATCAACGTTCGTCATGACATGGAGACCTCTTGACCACGTCGTGGGCATGCCATAACAAAATAGTCGCGATGCAGAGTATCACCACGTCGTGACAAGCCCTTTTACATGTTGTGGTCATTGGTAGATTGTCATATTCTTCATTAAGAGCTTACTCTCTTAAGCCATTCATTTATACTTTCGAAAAGTCTTTCTAACACCCAAATACATCATAAAAATCATTGCTTTTATGGAAATGCATGTCCAATGCATGTCCTTCCCAAACTAGGTCACTAATGAAAGAAATGAGCTCCCAAACTCTTGCTTGAGACCAAGGACTTAATAGATCATTAGATTTGGAACATATAACCATAAAGGAACCTCAAGGATCCATAAAGTTGCCAACTTTATGGAATCCCCCCACTCAAACCACCTTGAATCATGAACAAAAAGCTTCTAATCCTAGACTAGAAAAATAACACATAAAGATAGGAACTTGGGGACTTATAAAAGTCCAAAAGATGTACAAGAAGGTGGTGAGGAGGTTTGTTTGTTAGATCTTTACACAAAAGGCACCTTCTTTTTCTTCAAGTTGCAATCTAAGGCTTAATTCTCCAAGAACACTCAAATAGGGCTAGGGTTTTCAAGATAAGAGGGTGGAGGTTGAAGAGAATGACCTAACCCTAAAGTTAAGGTCCTTAAATATGGAGAAAACCCTAAAAATCATGGATTTGGGTTGCATATGCTGCCACGTTGTGGCCTTCCTCTTGCCACGTTGTGGCGGCCATCAATACACACGTTCTTATAATGGATATGCCACATCATGGTCCTCCATACTCCACGTCTTGGCACTAGGATTTTCTCAAAAACCTTACCTTGATCCCTCCAAGTCCTCAACTGATCTATTATGGAAATGAGTGTTACAATTCTCTCCTACTTAAATTAGATTTCATCCTCGAGATCGGTCCATACAAATTACCTCTTGTATACACTACGACCCTCTCACGAGTCCTTTTGATCCCACTACAATTGCATTGGCCGACAAAATTCTCTTACTATGGTTTGCAGTTTTTACCTCAAGGCCTTCCCGAACAAATACACAGTCTATTCTTGAATTAGACGCCTAACAATTGATCTGTCAGCTTCAGAAGCACTGGATCGATTCCCTACCCAGTAGACCACTTCCAAAACCGATGTCGATTTAATATTTTATTGAAAACATGTGCCCCATTGAAGAAACGACAATTAACCACATTGCGAGAAATTAATTCCTTAGCCATAATTCGAGCACTCCATGGTTGAGTATGACAATCTAGCGAACAATTTCATTAAATAAATCAACCTGGCAGATCAAAAACTCGTAGATTTGATATGTTAAATATCTCCTCGGCCTCGCGCCACTGATAAGCCGACTTATGGAATCCACGCCGACAGTCGTCGCCGACAACCTCGCATGCAACACACTAGCAAAATCACTAAACGAATACCAATTGAACATATACTAAACTAGATTATATAACCACTTAACTCTTACAACCCCAATCCGTCAACCAATAACGAATCTCGGGCTCACCCTTGATCCGTCAACTACTAATGACTCTCGGGCTTATCCCCGATCTGTTAACCACTAACAACTCCCGGGCTTACCCCCAATCTATCAACCACTACCAAGGCCCCTCAGCCTAACATGGGCACACATCGAACCTACGAAAGTTAGCTATCCCAATCAGGCCTCTGGGTCATGATTCGGACCCCCAGGTACCAATCAAACAAGAACAGACAAGGATTCCTCACCGCAACCCTTGACCTGAGCTCCTAACACCTTCAAACCCTTAAGCACGATGACGTCATTCGGAATGCCAACACAAAATGCAATTAAGACAATCTGAAGGAATTTCATCAGGTGGCAATGATCCCAACGCGGATCCCTGAAGATTATGCAATTACACGAAAGTCTTGAACTTGTGAAATTTGGCTGAAGACTGCACCCTGAAGCGCGTTAGAAATTGATTAACAACACAAGAGATTCAATCAAAGCTTTAAGGGACACGAGATATAAATAGGATCTATTTGTCTCGATTAAATTCTGAAGAGTACATGAGAATATTTGAGTACAAATGAAAAATGACACTCAATTCGTTACTCTCTACTCTATGTACTTACCCAATTTATAGGGTACAAAAAATTCACAAGAAATTACAAGGACTAGACATTTAAGTATCGAAATTGATGTGCCTTGTAAATAGATAATGTGTCGAAACCATACCGCTTTCAACACTTTACTGACTCAGACTACTTTCGACTTCTTACTATATACATTCGACCCAACATTCTCCTCCTTAGTGAGAAACGTCAGATATTAATCAATCATCTTCATCGTTTATAAAAGCTCTCTTCTAACTTTTATATACCACAAGATAGTCTTCCTTATCTCCATCATCATTCTTTTTTTCAATTGTTGATTTGAATCAAGATGTTCATGAAATGAGAATTTGTATATATTTCTAAATCAAACACTTGAAACAAAAACTTCATTAAATTCCCTCTATTGTTCTTTCCTTGGGACATAACACATAAGGCTGATGAATGATTTCTCCGTCTACAAATTCATTGATATTTAATTTTGCCTTTGCCATAGTTTGTGGTACTTTCGAAGGCAAATGAGTTATGACACCAACAATAACATCGACTTTGCCATGCAATAACTTGTAACTTTCCTCCAGTTTCTTTACTTCTTTCGAAATCCAAGAATATATCTCATCAACCTTGAGATGAAGAGACTCATTCATTGCATTCAATATTTCAATAAAAAGTTTATTATGCTCCTTTGCAACATTGTCAAGCCTTTGAATTTCATGACCGAAACTTTTTGAATGAATAGACGATCGTTCTGCTTGTTTATGCTCAACACCCTCAAAAAAATTCCGCAAACGTGATTCTTGAGCTTTCAAAAAATAATCCATCTCGACCCCAGTCACATAATTCTTCCCTCATGTTGTAATTTGAAGAAGATAATTGATCTTTGAGTTCAACAACTTGAATTGCTTACCTGACATGATTAGTTCATCAAGAATATCTTCTTCTTATGGATTGAATTGAATATCGGAATACAAAACCATAATATCTTCATCAACAACTTCGTCTCCTTTAAGTGACTTCTTAGTTGATTGTGAGGAGAAACGAGTGGTGATAAGTTCTTGTATAACACCAAAAAATGTTGGTGAAACAGAAACAGAAGTAAGAATGGGTGATGTTGGTGGTGGTAAAATTGTTGAAGTTGTAATGGAAGTTGTGATAGTATATTTTTCATTGATCATCCCTTCATCCATATTGACATTTGTATCCTTAATAGATAAGTTCACAGTGATGTCTGGAGTTTCGACCTCCTCCCTATCGGACTTGGTATTCAAGACCCCGGATGGTTTGACTAAAGCCTTCTCATGGATGTTGGTTTGTTTTTGGTCACATGAATGGATGTTTGTATCCGTATCAGATACGTTTACAGTGACACTAGGAATCCTTGTCTCCTCGAAAGTCGATTTGATAGGGGTATGCTTTCATGGTGAACCAATAAAAGAATCCTCAATTCGAATGTCTAACCTATCGTTGTCACTATCATTCTCATTCTCGACTATTACTTCCTCAATTGGAACTCCACCATGATCATTCTTTCTATTCTTTATCTTTCTGACAATATCAATAGCTTGAGACTTCTTTGTTGCTGGAGAACCATAACTCAAAATCTCATGGATTAAAACTCCCTTTCTAGTAAACTGTAACTTCTTAACTCTTTTGGAACCGCTCTTTTTCTCAACTAGTTCACTTTTCTATGTAATTATATATGCACTAGGAATAGATGTTTAAACAAAAAGTTTTCTTTAATGGTTTCTTGGTTCGTTTGAGTATCCCTTTACCAGTCTTTTTTGGTATTGTTTCTTTAACAAATTGCTATGGTACCAATTGTCATCATATTGCTCGTTGCATAGTACCTACAATCAATTAGAAGAATTTAGGTCCCCAAGACCTTTTGGGTCCTTGGACATTAGTTTGAAACACATTGTGCAGTGAAGAACCTAAAACCCAATTATAAACTTTCGATTTGAAATCGTCAATTAAGTCAACTTCATTTACTTTAGGTATTGAAATTTATTCATACAATGGGGAAGGTTCAACATTGATTTTCTCTTTTCCATCCATTTTCTGAGAAAAATCAATTTTATTCTTTGGAATTTCTTTCCACTTTCGCATCATTGGTGTAAACTCTTGAGATGAAGTACTTTCATTCATTGAATCATTCAAGTACTTCTCGTAAGCATTTCGTATTTGCTCTTGAGAATACTTTCGTGAGTGATATTGTTTTCCTTTTCCTTCAAGCCAATGATTGATGTTCTTTACATCACTTTTGCCTTTTGTGAATGAAGCTTTCATCTTATGTTTTTAATCATGATTTGGAAAATTTGGGTTTTTAGGTTTAAAAGGCTCACTCTTCCTTCCTTTAACTTCCAATTTCTCAAATTTTCTTTTGAGAAATAACCTTTGTGAATGATTTGGAAAACGATTTTGATATCAGTTTTGATAACTAACACCATTTTGTTGAAAAACTTTTTGATTTTGACCAAAAATTCATTGTCCATGATTTTGCAAATTTCTTTGAAAACTATTTTGTCGAAAAGTTATTTTGGGCAAAGTTTTGACTTCTTTGAAAAACATTTATGTTTTTGAAATTGTTTATTCTGAAAAATCTTTGCATTTTGTGAAAACTTCTTTGCTGTTTTAGGAGATTTTAAAAGAAAAAACCTTTTGATCGTGAAAAGCTTTTTCATTTTTCCAATAAGCTTTATTTTGTGCTTTTGATTTTAAAATTCTTTTGTTAGAAGCCAAATTTTCTATTCTTCTTTTGAAATTTTGTGTTTTCACCTTTTGATGTTTTAGATCAACAAGTAAAGAATCAACGTATTTTTATTTGTTTTCATTGTATACAACAAATTTTATTTGTTTTCATTATCTACAATAGATTTTTCCATTTTCATAGCTCAAATATGTTTTGTTTTATTTTGTTGTTAATAAATTTTCGAGTTTTTTATCAAACCATTTTCGAATGTTTGATTCGAATAAAATCCTTCTTTCGTCACACTCACATTGTCTTCGTTCACCAACTTGTTCAATTCAGGAGTTACATTATCACCATTTCCTTTGGTAACAAAGACTTGATTCGGAAACACATCTTCTGAATCCTTGTACCTAGGATAAACCACTGCATTTGATTCAAGAGAATGTTTTCCTTTGTCTTTCAACACTTTCGAGTACTCCTTTGAATCTTTGAAGACTTAATCTATCACAACTCTTGGAATTTGTTTCTTATTTGAAACTTCATCGTCACCAGTCACATAATCCTCAACCACAACAAAGTCTTGAGAATCACAGGTTTTGGATGTCGAAGATTGATCATTGTTTAATTCCGACATTAAATCATTACATTCTTTTCCTTTAGCCATTTAATTGACATTAATGACAAATAATCGTGAGCAATCGACACATTCCTCTTCCTCAATTTCACTGATATTGTTAGAATTATCTTTGATATTAGAAATTTTTTTGTTTAGAACCAAGTGTCGACTTCTCACTCATGTTCAAAATATTGACTTGTTCATTTTTTTATTAAAGTCTCATTCACAATTTTCACAAGATCATCAACATTCAAATAATCATTAATATCTAAAACACCATATGCATATAAATCACTTTGAATTTTATCATAATCTACTATCTTTCTTTCACATTCATATGTGGTTTTGTCTATTTGTCCTCTTTTAAAAGCAAGAAAAGGAAGTAGCTTTCAATGTTGTTCATCACAAATCTCAGCATAATGATAAAGTTCAGTTAATTTTGCATACAACCTTTTTACAGTATTACAATATATGTGTAACGTCCCAAAAATAAGACCCAAAAAGTTAAATTTTCAATTAATAAAACAATATCCGAAAACATCATCACAAATCCCAAGTGGAACAATTGTATTAAAAACTGTTAGGTTATGTGCATAATATCAATCCTAAAGTGTACATGCAACCCTAATTGTTTTGATCTAGGTTTTTCTAAGTAAACATACAACATTGAATACCAAAGCAATAAACCCTAATTGACTAGCATACAAATCTGAAAATCACATATGATTAGGGTTAGAAAGCTTACCTTGATTATTATGAAGCGATAAAAATCACAAACCTCCTTGATCTTGACTTCTGAAAGTTTAGTGCCCCAAGTTTTGCACCTCTAATGGAGTCACAAACACCATTAGCAACAAGGATGAACAAGAGAGAGGAGAGGCACCAAAAACATCCAAGATGCTCTTAGGAATGCTTAGCCATGTTCTGGGATCCTTATGGGTCCTTATATAATTGAGGCTACTAGGGTTTTCAACTTGGAAACCCTAATCCAATTGATTAGTCCTTAAGCAGCCCAAAGATCCTTCCAGAAGGCCCCTTGGATGATTTCTATATGGACTCCCATATCGAATTCATCCGTTGCTTCCTTATGAATCTTAAGCCCAACTCTGTAATTATCTTATAATTACAATATGAGTCCCCTTAATTTAATTAATCTCTTTTGACCACAAAATTAATTCTAAATTAATTATTGATCAGTATTAATTAAACAATATGATTTATCTTTTAATATATTATTCACATAATATATTAATAAATCATAAGTAATCCTCTTTCTTCATAATTCATCCTATCAGTTGCTATGGTAAAGGCAACCCAAAAGGACCATGTTCATAATCGGGTCAAGTACATACCAAAATAGTTATGGACTTAGACACCTAATCCAACAAAAACATCATAAAATATCAGAGTAATCATGAAAAAAGGAACAATAACGTGTATGCACTGCAATCACCCTGAGCTCTTCCTTTTTGCACAAAAAGTACCTGAAACATAAACTGAAAACCATAAGCATGAAGCTTAGTGAGTTCCCCTAAATACCACATACCACACATATCAAACATATAATGGGCCCGCCCGATGAGTGTAACGAGCCCCACCCTAATTCGCATAACGGGCCCCACCCATTGAGTATAGTGGGCCTAGCCCTAACTCTCGCAACAGGCCCCACCTAACACACAATCATACAAATATAACAAGTAATGGCATACAGATTACTCATTGGGCCCCGCCCATTAAGCATACAAACACATGCTAGAGTCACACAAACATCTAGTACACTAACATAATAAAACATGGGTCGACATTGGTTCCTTCAACCCGCTAAACACAGTGAGGAAGACTCACCTCAGATTGCAGAATTTCAGAGATAAATCTTTGGCTGCTAGCCCGCTAAAATCCCCGCGTTATCAACATATAATAACATCCAATTAATAATTGGATCCCGACTCACACTAAGAGTCTAAACTAGGGTAAAAGATCCTTTTTACCCTTTTCTTAACTTGACCTAAGGAGAAGGACCAAACCAACTGCCCAAAAGGCCCAAACTCCCAAAATGATTAGCCAAGGCCCAAATATGGCTCAGTTATCCAAATTGGGCCCAAATCCCTTTGCGGGCCTTCAACCAAACGAATCCATACTAAAAATCTGATGGCCCAACAAATCCCCAAAACTCCTAAGGTCCACACATGGCCCAAAATCGAAAAGCCCAAAACCAAAGCTCTTAATACAGCAAGCCAAACTCATAAGGACTAATTGTTGGTATAAAAGAAAGTCTTAAGAGATGAGTTTTTATGTATGCTTCTATTATTTTATGTTCATCTTTTGTACTAAGTTTTGGTATAAAAGACAAGCTTAAGAGATGAATTTTAGCTAGTGGTTTACTCACTTATTTCTCCATAAAATGGCAGGCAATTTTCAAAATTGGTATGTTCTCCCTCTCTTCTTCTTTCTTCCATTTTGGTGCTAGAAATGAAGGCTTTAAAGTTGCTTCTCTTTAAGCACTTATTTGGTATAAG